TGTGTGTGTGTGTGACATTAACTCATAATTCAAACGAACATGTATAAAATATCTATATATCGTAATTATTCAGAGGACCTGCGCCAACCATCGTCATTATAAAGGCTACCACAAGGGCTACTTTTTACAAACTCACACTTATTAGAATAGCAACATTATGAGACATTAGCACATCAACCTCAATGCAGTGTTAACATTGTCAAGAGGGTATCAAGAGTGCAAGAGGGTGTGTAGGATGTGTGGTATTACTTATTGTATTAATTAGCAGATATTGCACGACTTTGAAGTGGTCTTGCGTATTGAACAGAGTACATGTACATTATTATAGAATAACAATGATAATAATCATAATAATAATGTGTGTAAAAGTCTAACGCTCAAGGCACATTCCATTGTTTATGTAATGAAGCTATGACGAACCAAAGACTAGAGTAAGGGAGAGGGAGGGGAAAGGACAGAGTGTAGATTGGAGAGAGAGAGAGAGGGAGAGAGAGAGAGAGAGAGAGAGAGAGAAAGAGAGAGAGAGGGTATAGAAAGAGCAAGGGTAGACAGATAGAAGGAGAGAACAGTTGGAGGGCTAAAGAGAGAGATTGGGGGGGGGAGGAGAAAGAGGGAGAGAGAGGTGGAGAGAGGGGAGGAGAGAAAGAGAGAAATAGGGAGAAAGAGAGATTTAGGGAGAAAGAGAGACAGAGAAAGAGAGAGACAGAAAGAGAGAGAGAGAGAGAGAGAGAGAGAGAGATAGAGAGAGAGAGAGAGAGAGGGAGAGGTAAAGATGATGAAGAGAGTGTGACATGACACTCTGGACATAACATGATAACATGAGTGATGTTGTGGATTTTGATTAGACAAGCCGAGCACAGCATACAGACGGAGAAAGGAAAGGGGGCGGGGGGTCTATTTCTGAGAGGCATTCCACACACAGCATTGTAAAAACTTTGTGTGTGAGGGAGGGGGGGGGGGGTCGAGGTGAAACAAGTTTCCGAGAAAGCACAGAGCATACTTACATTATAATTTTCATACAAATAAAACATGATAATTTATGCAATTAACAGTGTATTGGTCAATTGCAATAGATGTGTAGTATGCTACCTTGCTTAAGATGTAAAGACGCAACTGTTGAACCATAATGTATGCAATTAACAGTGTATTGGTCAATTGCAATAGATGTGTGGTATGCTACCTTGCTTAAGATGTAAAGACGCGACTGTTGAGCCATGAATATTGTTATTTCGAATGGCTCTTGGCAAGCGTGTAATAATCGTTCTAGTTTTTGTAACATAGTACTCTCTAAACTGATGCTCTATCACTCGGTGACTATACTATTGTGTACTTGCTAAGAATACCCAGTGCTTGTTGACCTGTGTGATATCCCCCACTAACAGCCGATGTGATTATTTTGGTGGGAGGAGGGGATCGCATGGGAAGTGACAGGTATCATTAATGAATGACTGGGTGGAAATACAACGATACCTTAGAATTACACAGTTTTGTCTTTTCAGTATATTATTTTGAGAAATTTGACATGAAAAGTGTTGAGTTTCACAACATGTCAAGCTTTCCCAATGCGATTCTTTGAGTATCTTGATAACGACTCCGGATAATCGTACAGTTTTGATAGAACAGTATAGTACATTTTGTTTCTGATGCCATGATCTTTGTTACTCAAAACGGCCAAAAAATGGCAGACAGAACTTTTTAATTCTAAGGTAGCGACATGTATTTGAGAAGTATGAAAATTTTAGCACTTTAAAGGTGGCAAAAGTAAACGCTGCTTAATTAAAGGCTGCCCTAGACCGTGATCGTAAATTATAATAACAAGACTTCGAAAAGAATAAAAGTAAGACTTCGTATAGAATAACAATACTTTCAGGTTGTAATGTGGGTACAGGTTGCAATACACATATTTCATTAAGTAACACAGAAAAGTCACAGGTCCCACATTGCCTATCGCCTCCTATGTTAGGATTAAATATTGAATGGACGAGGCATAGGTGCCAGAGACAATAACACCAAAAAACCTAATCTGAACGATCACATTGATCTATCTTTACCATATATTATGTCAATGATTACGATAACATACATAAAACACCCACATCAGTCCCATACTGTCTTCAGAGCTTCACAACTACTTCAATTAATTATTTGCCCCAACAACCCACAATCGGCGTAAGTAAACTATCTGCTCACCTCTCGAGCTGCAAGACCAATGACGAGATGATCAATTGTACCCTATGGGTTACTTATTCCATGTATGTGGAAGGAGCAGTATACTTGTTTTGAAACTATGATCTTACTAATAGTATGTAACATTGCTTGCTTTCGAAAAAAAAGTCAGGTCTCCATAGGAGAACATAGCAGGGCATTTTCAAGGTTTCAGTATTTAAACATAAATAATATGTTTACAAAGTAACCCCCCCCACCCCAAACAAAAAGCACAATAAAATAAATTAACATAAATCAACAAAAAAGGTTTAGATAAATACAGGAACAAAATAAT